CCCCCACCCCCGTTCCCTGCCTTGGATGGTTTTTAGGTGGAGTCGTTTGCACCAAAACCCAATAGCTGCTGCTGTTCTTGCTGCTATTTTTTTTTTTTTTTTTTTTTAATGATACTGTTTCCACAGCAGGGGAAGAGAGAACTGATCCTGAACATACTCCCAGAGAATGAATAATCACAAGAAACTGGCTTAAGCAGCTCCCTGGATCTGGTGCATGATTTCGATTGAGTTTGATTTGATTTGATTTTTTTTTTCCCCAAGTCATCGTTCGCATTTTATTTTCTGCATTTTTTTTTTTTTTTTTTCACCTTTTGGGGGATTTGCAAACCGAATTACATGCATGTCCAGTGGGGGAAGGTTTAATTTTGACGATGGAGGGTCGTACTGTGGAGGCTGGGAGGACGGAAAGGCTCATGGCCACGGAATCTGTACCGGCCCGAAGGGTCAAGGTGAATATTCGGGCTCCTGGAGTCACGGCTTTGAGGTGCTGGGGGTCTACACTTGGCCCAGCGGCAACACTTACCAGGGCACCTGGGCGCAGGGCAAGCGCCATGGCATTGGCATGGAGAGCAAAGGGAAGTGGGTGTACAAAGGAGAGTGGACCCATGGATTTAAGGGACGGTACGGGGTCCGAGAATGCACTGGAAATGGGGCCAAGTACGAAGGCACCTGGAGCAATGGATTACAGGATGGCTACGGGACAGAGACCTACTCGGATGGAGGTAAGTGCTGCATCGATACCTTCCCGGCTGGGGCGGGCGGTGGCGTGGGGGTACGAGCCTCTGAACGGGGACCCCGGCTTTGGGCTGGAATCTGGGAGTTTGCAACCTGCTAGCTTGGAGCGAGGGATGCTCGTACCCCGCAGGAGATAAGGAACCAGCCCAGCATGGCATCAGCCCAGCTCTTTGCCACAGGTAGCCCCATATGTTCAGCTGGTCTCTGGGTGCTGGGTCTCCCCCCCCGCCACCTCCTCGACCAGGCTTTTTTGGGGAGGGGAGCTGGCTGCGCTTGATGAGCTGGGGGGATGCCCGGCTCTCGCCCAGGGGGGTCGGAGGATGGGGTGGGCCAAGGCGTCGGGAGATGACCCAAGTTGCACATGGGATTCACAGTTCTGACTGCACCACTGGAACCTGTAGGATTTGCATCGAAGCAACCCAGGGCAGAGGGGAGGTGAGCATGGGGGGGGTTCCAGGGCAGACGGGTACTGCTCTGGTGCTGCAAATGCTTCCAGCCAGGGGCTGGGGTCTTTGCGTGCCCTACAGCCCCCCCCCAAACGCAGCCCCACGCTTAATAATACCAGGCAAAAGACTTTAATTCAGACAAGAGTCTTACATTCCTAGTTTACGGCTTAATGCTCAGCGTAGGGGCTCAAAGGGATCACCAAAGCTATCCTCTGCCGTCAACACGGCTTAACGAGATGTGGAGGGGAAACTAGGATTAAATAAAAAACAAGAAAACCCAATTGGAGCGATCAAAAAAAATTGCTGGACTAACAAGCTTTAAGGCCGAACTAGGAGAAACAGCTGGTGCTCTGCTGTAAGTGGCTGTATCATCCTCTCTCATGTTTTGTGGCTACTTCCATCTAAATTGCCACCATAATACGAGGCAGGCCTACCTGCCGGCAGCCGGGGGCATTCGGCCGCGCTGCCCCGTTGTTTTGCTGGCAAATGTGCCCATCTGAAGCAGGCTCTTTTCATTTTTTTTTATTTTTTTCCCCAAGACATTATCATTTTTCCAGGACTGCTACGTTAAGGAAATTGCCGCGTTGGTGAGCTCCATCGCAGCCTTCCTGAAAGGTGCTGCAAGACATTTCTCTAGAAAACCCAGTTTGCTGCTTTGTGATTGTACAGGGAGGCAAGATTAAACGCTACCTGCAGCTGCTCTTTTATGCTTTTGAAGGGAGAGGTGGAACGATCTCTTGATTTTTAATGATAATTTTGTGCTGGTGGCTTTCTTCTAAAGGAAAATATAGCTGCAACCTTTTGTTTCAGCTGCCTGGAATAATGCTGGGGTCTGAGCTGGAATCTGCCGGGTGTGTGTTTGCAAGCCATCGATAAATCCTGGCAGTCCTTCCAGTTGAGAATAAAGCGCGGTCAGAGAATAATTGCAGTCTCCCACGTTCAAAGCGGTCAGGAGGGGATGTGGGAAAAGGGGGGGGGGGTTTCTGCATGCTCCCAACGCGAGTGCTGTCTCCCTGCTCCCCTCCTGGCACCCAGCCCCTGCCAGGGAGGTTGGGGAAAGGCAGACAGAAGTCTCGACAAACTACAGGTCTCCGAGGGCTGGGTGTTGCAGGGTTGGCCCCGTCCCCGGGCACGCACGTGCCCCCACCCTGGCACGCTTTCCCGTCAACCGCAGCGCAGCGGATCTTTGGGAAACCTGGGGAGCATCTCCAAATCGGGGTGGCTTACCAGCAGTTTCACCGTTTCTGAGAACCTACCAGAAGCAAAGAGCTTTTTCTTCCATCTTGTCAGGCCCGCCCCGGCTTCTCAGTGTTTGGGGACCGAAAAGCTATATTTGCGTGTTTGTCATTTTAGGAGGAGGTGAGAGGATCAGGAGGAGACAAGGACAGGGTCGGTAGCACGATTCTCCCCGCCCAGGGACTCTGCAAATCCTCCTAGGAGGAGGGGATGGCTGTGCTGGGGAAAGGCAGAGCGATGGTACCTGTGGCCAAACCCATCCTGCTGCTGGGAGCTGGGACGGGCCACACACATCCCGACCGGGCTCCTCCACGTCGGCTTTCCCCCCATTTCGGTTGGGCAGTCACCGCAGAGCGACTGAACCCAGCCGAAATTGCACTTTCACCAACTCGGTTGCAAGTACCCAGAGGCCACGGCCCTTTCCCAGTTGCCTGTCTCCATTCTGGGTGGAAAACGCCAAAGTTGGGCATCTCCAGCCTTTTGGACACCGAACCTTAATGAACTTTGTGTGTTTAGCTACAAGAAGCTGGTGCGTGCAGGAGCTCTGCTGGAAGGGTGGCTGCGTAGCTATGGCACAGGGGAGGCAACTGTTGGGAAGGATGTTTCTCATTAATCTGTTCAAGTTATTACCTTCATCAAACTGAAGTATCCTAGAAGCCTCGCCCCAGCATCTGTCACTTGCCACCCACAGATAAATATTCATCCCTTGCATTATTTTTTTTTTAGCACATCAACCATGGCTAGGGGATGGGTCCCTAAATGCACAGCGAGGCTCAGGAAGCGAGATGCCCCAAAATTCATGGGTTTCACTCCAATTTTACCATTTCCTTGCACAACCGTGGGTAAGGGCAAATCTCGACACTCCACCAACCGTCGCCAGCGCTATCTTGGGGCGCGATATTTTGCGTGACCAACGCGCACGTATCGATGTGTTGGACTTGGACGTGGGTTATGGCATGCGGTGGCCTAAGCCGCCTTGCCACCCCCCCCAAACCCCCCCACCGCCGTCCTGCCTCTGCTCGCCACCCCGGGGACCGTCCCCCGTCCCCCCCCCACGCCGGGTGCTCACGCCTGCCACGCGCGCACGCATGCACGCTTCCCCCACATGCAGCTTGCAGATCTCACACCTCCCACGCGGACACACTCATCGCCATGCACACACGCCTCTCCTCCCCACGCCGAGACGCCGCTTCGCCCCTCCGCTCGCATACCCACACACACGTGGTCTGCCCCCGGCCCCGCGCCGGCGCTCTCTGACCCAGCCACGCGCCGGATGAATGCCAACCGTGTTTCCCCGAGCCGCGCGGGATACACGTCCATCGACGCAAACCGATTACGCGGAGCCCAAATAAGCAAATTCGCTGTTCCCCTAGAAGCCCACGCTTTGCCAAATCTCCCCGGCACCGCTGCACGCCCGACCCGCGGTCCTGTGCCTGCGGCACGCCTGTGCACCATCCTGTCTTTCCCCTGCACACACGCGCTTGCTCGGACCCCCAAACCACGGTACTGCTGATACATCCTTATTTTTCTGTCCCAAATCCCTGCTACCTCCTGCCCCCATCCAGAAGCACCCAGATATTACATAAACCAGGCTGCTGAGGATCGCTTCGGTCGGATGCCGGAGTTGCACCACTCGTTTGCTGGGCCTGATTCAGCCCGGCTCCCGAGCGGGAGCAGGATTGCTCCCTTGCTTCAGGTGAAAGGGGCTGAATCCACCTGGATCAGCACTGATGTGAGCCGGAGCCGCTGCCATCGCTCTTGCTGGAGCTGGTGGAACCTCTTGGGAGCAGAGGGTTGGAGACCTTCTTCCATTGGAAACCCCCTCCCGAGCAGGTCTGGAGATCAGGAGACATCTCAGCTGGTTCCTGCCTTCCTGTAACTCCAGGGACGCTTTGGAAATACTCAATGATTTTACCCTGGGGACAGTTTGAGTTGTAACTGCAGGCTTGCCATGGAAGTCCTAGGGCTGTGCATTGGGTTTGGGTTTTGCTGCTGAAACCATGGTTTTGGGGGTGGATAAGATGGGGTGGATGAAGGAAGCCCCAAATCGTTTTTTTTGCTCTTTCCCTCCTTGCCAAAGCTGCTTTTCTCCTCCCTCCACCTCTCCCCAGCCAAGCATTTGGGATCTGAGACCGGACAGGAGCTTGGGGAGGGGACCAGCCCCTCTCTCGGGTCCCCTCGGGGAACGGCTCGCGCCGATTCCCCGGACTGGAGGTGCCCGCGGTGCGTCGCAACCGTGCCAGGTCCCTCCTGCTGCCACCCCCTCGCCCCATCCCGGGTACCCACGTGCTTCCACGCAACCTCGTTTCTCGGGGAGGGCTACCCCAAAACGGACGGGCGATCGCGTCGCGGCGTTCGTCTTGTGTAATCCTCCGTGCCCACTCACCTAAATGAATCATCCCCTTGATAGGTGAGTGAAATATAATTAGTGTTTTCATTGTTAGCACCGTGTGAGTAGGCAAGTGGGTTTTCTTGGCCCGGGCTGGGAAATTTTCGTGCTTTGCAAGCGACGGGGAGAGGGAAGCGGTGCGGTGGGAGCTGCCGGCGTGGGATCTCCCGCAGCCTGTCCTGCCGGGGCAGGAGCGGCGGCGGCTCCGTGCCCCACTTTTCCCACCTCCGCAGTGGCACCGGTGACACCTCCAGCCGCTCTCTTAGCAGGTGCCCAGGGAGCGACCAACCGAATGGCTTTGAAACGGTTGAGGAGGCGAAAAGCACGAAATATTTCGCAAAAGCGGGCCCCTTGCCAGCGTTAAAGGGCTGCTCTGGGCAGGGGGATGGACCGGGGATGCCGCAGGGGGACCTGCCTCTCCGGGAAGGGGCTGCAGCCCCCTCGCCTGAGCTGAGAAGTGGTTTTGGATGAACCAGCACCGACCAGTGCCGCTAAGGGCAGCGACATCACCGAGGGCTGCCGAGGGCCTCTCCGCATACCGGGTTTTTTTCCACGGGTTCCTCTACAGCTGCAGGGAACCAACGAGCGAGGGCAAATTTCCGTGCGATCTATTCATAGCGCGGATGTCAGAATTACCTTAAAAGTATCAGCTCTCGTCTTATTTTGCTGCCGGGAAGGAATTGTTGATGCACTTTAAATAGTGGGCGGAAACAAGCAAATACAAGCGCGCCCTGATGCCCGATCCTCCTGGTTCCTGCAGAATCCAGACCCGGCCGTAGCTGGTCCTAACAACCCCCTAAGAACCCGATAATTAAAAAAAAAGCTATAAACTTTGTTTATGAAGCATCTCACCATCTAGATTTGGTACCGAAGATGCTTGCAGTGCAACAGTGGATATAGGAGAGCAATAACTGAA